ATAATTAAGTGGACATAATTGAAGGTGTATGTACGACTGTACTTCTAGAAATGCAAACCCCAAGGTTTAGTATTTTTCAAGTCTACAGCACATTAAAGACCATTAGCAATGCCTAGGCAGTAGCATCTTTGTCAGCATTACACAACTTGAATATCACCTTACAGCAACACCAGTGTTCATACTGCCTTTACAAGATTTCATAGTTTAGGCACAGTCCTCTTAAGAACTCTCCTAGTTCAACACATTTCCTGTGTACGTGTCAAGCATACTACTTAGCAACTACTTTTAACGCTATAAAGTAAAATATTTCGTCGCGATATACAAAAAAGACAAGTTGATAGTCTATGTATAACAGTGACTTCTCTAGCAAGACCCACCCCAAATCTCTTCCAGCAACAACACCAATTAACATATTGCTTAGGCATTAAAGCATATTTCACGTTTCATTAATTTTACTAAAAAAATATTCTAATAATGCAAAATAGAATGATTATTTTCATTCAGCAGCAAGCATTTGCACATCGTGTTTGCATTATTTCATTCCAGGGATAAGAGAACCGCTTTTGACATTTGTTTGGACATAAAAATTATCTAAGCACGTCTATCCATTTAATGGCTAAAAGATGCAGAAAGTTGTTTTTGAGAATAAAAGACTTAACAGCTCACCTTTAGTGCAGCAAAAATTGGCTTTTCGTAATTAATTTTTTTGTTCATTGACATCGTGCTCTGGTCTGTCCAATTTAACTCTATTCTCTACCCCTCAAATGCATTGGTTGATAAAATCGCATAGCAAATGAGATCCGAAATGCATGGCCAGAAGAGTAGATGAACAATAAAACTTCTGCTACTGTCAGGTCACTTTTAGCACTTACCTACTTCAATTCCTTTATTACACCACGCCGAATAACTGAACAATCAAGAAAACTTCACTTTGTGTCCACAAACACACTCCACGCTTTCAGATGCAACTGCAACTGTGCCCAATTCCACCTCTAAAGCCATCCTTTTACTACGGCAGCATCAATTAATAATCGGTAAATAATGGGTTAATTCGGTAATCATTAGGGCAATAAATAGGCTGTACGCCTAAGTCACTCTCGAGTTGTCGGCGACATACACAACATCCACCACTCCCCTCGAAACTCCACCAACAAATGCCCACATTGGTTCTTTCTTTCTTGTGTTTACCACAAATCATGCATTCGACATTTCCATTGTGCAGCTCTCGATCCTTTCATTCATACGTCTATTTAACACTGAGGG